TAGTAGTAGTAGTAGTAGTAGTAGTAGTAGTAGTAGTAGTAGTACCAGCTACAGACTTACAACAAGTACTATTACAGATTCAAATAAGAACTGTTACTACTAATTTGATTTAAACAGATTAGTATGAAATAAATGATAAAAAAATCTTAATATTATATTTAGCCTTGTGACCTAGAAGAGGTACTAGTAATATAGCCAAAACCATAACTTCTTCTCTAGTACTAGCTGCAACAAGGGGGGGTTTCTCGTCCCTCAGAGGAGTAGTTGTGGAGGTGTGACTGATTATGAAATAAATGATAAGAAATGGCCACACAGAAACCTGGTACAAACACCCCTGACCAGAGATACCCAAAATAACATAAAAATTTAAATTTGGGTCTTTGGACCTTTGAATTCTTCTTCAGCCTTTAATCTGGTGATATGCTTGGTCTTTTCCAACTCCTCTTATTTTTAGAGATACTGACATTTGAAAAGTTATCTGTTAGGTCACTGGATTGTCCTACTACTACATGGACAAAAATTKCCTGTGAAATATTGCTCCACACATACTACTATTCTTCTTAATGGGGACCAAGAAACTGTACACAATTGCTGCAGCTGAGGCTGGAAAATACTCCTCTTGGTTATGCACTTTGCATACTACTGCTGATTCCAATCCACACTACTCATTATGGATCTCATTTATCCCTAGTATCAAGCAAGCAATACAGTGAGCTCCACATCACTTCAGCACCTTCATTGCTGGCTTAACTTTTTTGTTACTCTGACCTGACCCCAATAATCCTCTCTTCTTGAACCTGCATTGTATAGGCTTGCCTAAACAAAAAAACACTATCCAGGAGCCATACATTTCAAATCCTATATTCGTACATAAATATTGAAATAGTCCACTTCTAAGAACCCCCAACTCCCCCATGATATGACTAGAATCCTGTTTAAATTTGTTTTTGATTGATGTGCCAACCGTACTTAAGCATCCATTGGGGACAAAGTTATAGTGGTTAGTGTGAGTTGAACCTCTCTTCATGCTCTACATGGTTTTCTACTGTGCTTGGATTTTGAGCTACTTTTTTACTGTGTAATGACTAATGGGATTAAAATTTGACTTGTACTAGGGCTACAGCATTTGCATGTTTGATAACTATCAAAACATAGAGCTTCCTAATCTTGGTGCAATTCAACCAGGAGTGACATACAAGTATTACTCAACTCTACTAACAGTTACAATTTTTGGACTTGTTGGTTGCTCTCCTCAAGAAGGAAGTCTAGATGATGCCTTTTTGCTACCATGAAAGCATGGGAGCAAAAGGTAGAGACAATGCTGCATTGATAATTACCATGAATCCAAAGCAGGAAGGGTGGATACAGGAAGGATGAGAAAAAGGGTTTGAGTTATTGTTTTTATGAATAACTGGTGTGGGGGACAAAACAAGAACAGCCATGTGATTTATCTTGGAAAGATGCTAGTATTTGGGGTAGGCTACTTCAAAGAGGTAAACTCCATCTTTTGTATTTTTAAACATATGAAGAAGATGGTTCAATACAATGAAGAGAAACTAGTAAAGGTGTCAGAACATTTACACATTTGGTCAGCTCTGTGAGGTTCTCAGACTTACAGACAGAAATACTGTAACAGTTACTATCAAAGATAATGACTTTCAACCATTCTATGATGAATTTCAAAACTTGTTGTACAAAGAGTTCAAAAGAGACACTTTGTTAAAGTTGAAGAATCTGCAGCAACAGTTCTACAAGTACAAGTTGTCTACTACTACAGTGCACTGGACTACCACTTTTCACCTAATGCACAGGAGCCACTGACCTTGATGAATTCTCATTGCTCTGGACTTACCAAAGAAACAAAGCAAAAGAAACTTATTTTTTGTGTAGAATCAATGTTCTAAACCTCAGTATCCCATTTTTTGCATGTAAATTAGTACCTTGACAAAAGAAGTTCTATTCATCCTTGTTGCACTCACTTAGTTTTTGTACTGTACTAGAAACTATTTGTGAGCAACCCAATTGATAATCTAGGAACAGCACCAATCAATTGCCAACARCTCTTCAAGCCTACATCTATTACAGCTGCCAACTGGAAATGAATGATTGCAACACCACCATAAGAGATATGGTGAAGCTTCAAGCAACAAGGCCCCTAGGACTTAAAGTCACCATAAAGCAGATTGAGTCAGAAATAAAGTGGCCCCAGCTTGTCCCAGCTGGTGAGTATGCTGATATTACTAGTACATGCCCTTATCCCGGAAATGATGAGTTGCTTGCATGCAGTACACATACTTCCTGGGAGTAGCTTGTTGTTGAAAGTATGAAATGGTTATTCCAGTTTCTTGGTTTTCAGGGACTGTTCCACAGTTGGGCCTCTGCAACAATGTGGTCAATGAGAGCAGAATAGTGGCCAGCATCCAAGAGCACCATGCAGATTCCACATGGACTCTGCTGATATCCTTTGCCTCTTTCAAGCCTTGAGACTCTCAAAGCATTACTGCAATAAATACATAGGGTCATTTGGAGTTCCACTGGTTAAGCTGCACCCAGGGAAGCTCAATGCAAAATTTCTTGGCAAAGGCCTTGCCAATCCTTCCTTGGGGAACCAAGTACTGTCTTGGGTACAGCTGCAYAATGCGCTTCCAACAGGATTGCCAAAGAGAATCATCAGAGATCATTCCTGAGAGGTGAGAGCAAGGATTATCATGCAATTGAACTCCATGGATTCAATCAAATTTAGATTCAGCTTAAGTCTGAAGATAAGAGGGCAAATCAGCCCCAGCATCAGGAACAGGAAACTACAGAAGGAGCAGGGGGGAAGGGGCTGGAAAATCCAGAAATTCCCCATTAGCTTTAGCTGCTTTTGGTTGTATCAAAGGCTGCAGAGTTTGCTGTAGTAGACTCTGCTGCATTTGCCATAGCATTTGGTGTAACTGATGCCATACCTCTAGGGGGAGCTGGAGGTCCTTCTGGATTGATAGCATCAAAAGCACTGGTGGGACCAGTAGCATTAGGAGCCTCAGTAGGGACATTGAATGTAGTGGTTGCTTCAGCGGTATCAGCTGGAGCAGGTGGTGCAGTATTTGCTGTGGTCAGGGCCACACCTCTGGGGGGAGCTGCATCTGCCCATGCCAGTGCCTTGCATCCTGAAGAAACAAAAAAGCTTTCACTGCTGAAGACTACACAGGAAGAAGTTCTTAATATGATTTACTCTCTCGCCAGAYAGACAGAAAACTTGACGTGAACCGAGGAACTTCATAACGATGACAACAAAGAAAGAAGACGAGGAGTAGCATCATGGACTAAAGATTTGCAATTTGCAAATTGCCGCTTACAACTACCATAAAATCGTATCTCTGATTTTGCCTGGTTGCTGTAACGTACGGTACATCAGGCATGAGAATGAAGTAAACCTCAACGACGCAGTAAAKATAACTACAATATCAAAAGTATAGAAGCAAAACCACAGTATTCAAAATTAAGATTAAAACATTCGAAGCAATAATCGGGTAGATTCTTTTTTTTATGAAGCAAATAAATCCCACAATTTGAATTGAAGAACACGTGTCACTCCAACAAGTCCGACAAAAACCAATGGTATCACAATACAAATTTATTCATACTTGAAAAGCGGTTCGATACCGGAAATGTTCATGGCAGCTGTAATGCTGCAAAGTTCCGCCATGCGTTTCGAGTATCCGGCCTCGTTGTCGTACCAGGCATAAATTTTAACCAGTGTGCCATCGATAACTTGGGTCGAAAGGGCATCTACAATCGAACTGCGAGTGTCGTTTGTATAATCAGAACTGACAAGAGGTTTTGTTTCAAATCCTAGGATGCCTTTGAGTGGGCCACTCTCAGAAGCTTCCCTCAGTGCTTCGTTCACTTCCTCTTTAGTGACGGAACGCTTTACTACAAAAACGCAATCGGTAAGGCTTCCATTCAAAAGAGGTACTCGAACCGCCAGACCATTGAGTTTGCCCTTGAGTTCGGGGTAGATTTCAATAATTGCAGTGGCCGACCCAGTCGAAGTAGCTGGAGATCGCCAAAATATGAGCAACATTGGTGCGTCAGCATATTTTCAATTTGAGAAGCGGACGAGAGATAATTGCAATAGAAATGTATGAGACGATTGAGTTCCAACAGCAGCACCAAGCTCAAATCAGTGATGMAAATTGCGTCCACTTACGGCAAAGGTTTGTCATTCCAGATCGTGCACGGCGCTAACGGGAGAAAAAAGTCGAATACAAAGGTAAGTTGACATCATGCGACAAGTATTTGACGGCGAAAATAATTCAATTGACAAGCTAAAATAACTTACGAGATCACTCTTTTTGGTGTTCGGCATGTCGACGATGGTCTGGGTTCCTGTAACATCGTGAATTGTCGTGATGCAACCATGGACAATTCCGAATTTTTCGCGAATCACTTTCACAACGGGAGCCAAACAGTTGGTCGTACAGGATGCGTTCGTGACGAGCTTTGTTTCTTTGCTCAATAGTTCGTGATTGCATCCCAAAACAACATTTAGGGCCCCTTCTTCCTTGACAGGGGCTGATACGACAACCTGCTTAATGCCACATTCGTCGAAGTAGGGTTGAAGGGTCTTCACTTTCAAAAATTTCCCAGTGCATTCCATCATGAGTTCCACATTTTTCGAAGCCCAGTCGACATTGGTAAAGTCACCTTCGCAGGTGAAGGTCACAAGTTTTCCGTCGACAGTGAAACCAGATCCATCCTCGGTTACCTCAACTTTTCTGTCCCATGTTCCGTGCACGGAATCGTATTGAATGAGGTATGCAGCGCTTTCGACGGAGCATACATCGTTCACGTGGACGATTTCAAGGGATGGATCTTCCCACGCATATCGAAAAGTTAGACGACCGATACGGCCGAACCCATTTACAGCGCACTTCACAACCATCTTGGAGCTACTTCAGTTGAATATTGAAAGTTATCAAATAATAATGAATTATCTGTGCGAGTTTGTCCAACTCCAACAGAGGGTGTCGGTGGGAATACAAAAGATATTTACGTGGATAAAAAAGTTCGTACGGGTAGGCACAGAAATTCGTACGTACCCTAACGTGAAGGCTTCCGCTACCGTCCTTTTCTTATTATTGATTTCCATCTTTTCACGCCCGCACGTGGAAGAAATACGTAAGAAAATAGTAAGAAATATTATTGTCCCAAAAATAGTAGAAGTATTATTGAGTGGTATGATTCTGAACRAAATTGACTTGTAGGATTTTTCGAGTTGGATATAGTAGACAATCTACTTGTAGTCCTCCAACTTTCATTAAGCAGGAATAGTTGCGTTGTCACTCATACTCTGTGGTCGAGGAGTATGATGCGATAATAATTCGTCAGCTTCCCATAGCGATGAATCTCAGGACGAAGTGAATGAATGTTGGTGAATCTTCATAAATTATGTAAGTTCAATCGTGCGGGACTGGTAAGATAATAAGATACGCTTGACACAAAAACTAAATCCAACTACGGTACATACTACAGGCTCGTACCTTGTCGTACTTCATTGTATGATCAGTACGAAAATACTTTACTG